TCACCTTCCCGATATCACCATCCTCCTCCTTGATATAACCATCACCCTCCTTGATATCACCATCACCTTCCCGATATCACCATCCTCCTCCTTGATATAACCATCACCCTCCTTGATATCACCATCACCTTCCCCGATATCACCATCACCCTCCTTGAAATCACCATCACCCTCCCCGATATCACCATCACCCTCCCCGATACCACTATCACCATACCAAATCTTACCATCACCCAATCTTACCATAATCCCATATCACTATCACCCCCAACCCCGATATCACCACCACCCTCCTTGATATCACCATCACCTTCCCGATATCACCATCCTCCTCCTTGATATAACCATCACCCTCCTTGATATCACCATCACCTTCCCGATATCACCATCCTCCTCCCTGATATAACCATCACCCTCCTTGATATCACCATCACCTTCCCGATATCACCATCCTCCTCTCTGACATAACCATCACCCTCCTTGATATCACATCGCCCTCCTTGATATCACATCATCCTCCCTGATGTCACCATCACCCTCCTTGATATCACCATCACCTTCCCGATATCACCATCCTCCTCCTTGATATAACCATCACCCTCCTTGATATCACCATCACCCATCACCATCCTACCTCCTTGATATAACCATCACCCTCCTTGATATCACCATCACCCTCCTTGATATCACCATCACCTTCCCGATATCACCATCCTCCTCCTTGATATAACCATCACCCTCCTTGATATCACGGGGCGGTGGGGTAGCCTAGTGGTTAAAGCGTTGGCTCGTCACGCCGAAGACCCGGGTTCGATTCCCCACATGGGCACAATGTGTTAAGCCCATTTCTGGTGTCCCCCTCCGTGATATTGCTGGAATATTGCTAAAAGCGGCGTAAAACTAAACTCAGTCACCGTCCTTGATATCACCATCACCTTCCCGATATCACCATCCTCCTCCCTGATATAACCATCACCCTCCGTGATATCACCATCACCTTCCCCGATATCACATCACCCTCCCCGATATCACCATCGCCCTCCTTGATATCACCATCCTCCTCCCTGATATCACCAACAACCTCCTTGATATCACCATCATCATCCCTGATATCACCATCAACCTCCTTGATATCACCATCATCCTCCCTGATGTCACCTTCGCCCTCCCCGATATCACCATCAACCTCCTTGATATCACCATCACCCTCCCCGATATCACCATCACCCTCATTGATATGTGATGAAACTAATTGACAGCAAAACAGAGGCTCTTCTTGCAGGAACTCTGCCTAAACGGTTGGCCACTGGTGTGAAGACCGTTTGAGTAGGAGACTCTGAGATTACAGTTTCGGAATGTGTCAAGAATCTTGGTGTGGTTTTTGACAACAGTCTATCAATGGATGATCACATATCTAAAATCTGTCACTCTTGCTATTTTCATCTAAGGAATATTGGTTCCATTAGAGTTCTTCTCTCTACTGATATGGCACATATGCTAGCAAGAACACTTGTATTGACAAGACTTGATTATGCAAATAACTTGTTGGGAAATCTAACCCAGGAACAGTTTGCGAAACTCCAACGGGTCCAAAACACTGCAGCACGGATCGTGACCCGAACGAGGAAGTGTGCACATATAACACCAGTGCTAACTTCCCTACACTGGCTCCCAGTCCAAGCTCGAGTCCAATACAAGATTCTCACATTGACATATAAATGTGTCAATCAAACAGCTCCTGCCGATCTGACAGAATTGATTGAGAAATATGAACCTTCTTAGGACACTAAGATCTGCTGATCAGTTACTTCTTAAAGTACCCAAATCCCGCCTCAAAAAGTATGGACAGAGATCATTTGCTTACATGGCCCCAACTCTGTGGAACGATCTTCCCTTGGGAATAAAGAAATCCCCATCATTGACAATCTTTAAAAGCTGCATAAAGACTCATCTCTTCCAAAAGTTCTATAAAGATTGATATACCAGTGATAATATAGCACCTCTACTGCAGTGTTTTTTAATTTTGTGTAGCGCCATGAGCAGACACCAAGTGCCTGGAGTTTTGGCGCATAACAAATCTACTGTATTATTATTATTATCACCATCACCTTCCCGATATCACCATCACCTTCACCGATATCACCATCATCATCCCTGATATCACCATCACCCTCCTTGATTTCACCATCACCCTCCCCGATATCACCATCACTCTCCCCGATATCACCATCACCTTCCCCGATATCACCATCCTCCTCCCTGATATCACCATCACCCCCAACCCCGATATCACCATCACCCTCCTTGATATCACCATCACCTTTCCCGATATCACCATCATTATCCCTGATATCACCATCACCCTCCTTGATATCACATCACCTCCCCCGATATCACCATCTTCCTCCTTGATATCACTATCACCCAACCCGATATCACCATCACCCAACCCGATATCACTATCACCCTCCCCGATATCACTATCACCCAACCCGATACCACTATCACCCAACCCGATATCACCATCACCTTCACCGATATCACCATCATCATCCCTGATATCACCATCACCCTCCTTGATATCACCATCACCTTCCCTGATATCACCATCACCCTCCTTGATATCACCATCACCTTTCCCGATATCACCATCATTATCCCTGATATCACCATCACCCTCCTTGATATCACCATCACCTTCCCCGATATCACCATCACCCTCCTTGATATCACCATCACCCTCCTTGATATCACATCACCTCCCCCGATATCACCATCTTCCTCCTTGATATCACTATCACCCACCCCGATATCACCATCACCCAACCCGATATCACTATCACCCTCCCCGATATCACTATCACCATCGCAACCCGATCACCCAACCCCACTATCACCCAACCCGATATCACCATCACCCAACCCGATATCACTATCATCATCCCTGATATCACCATCACCCAACCCTTGATATCACCATCACCCCAAATCCCGATACATTCATGTATCACGATATCACCAACCCGATATCACCATCTTCCCAAGATGATATCACTATCACCCAACCCGATATCACCATCACCCAACCCGATATCACCATCACCCTCCCCGATATCACCATGATCACCATCAAACCCGATATCACCAAGTACCCATATCACTATCACTCAACCCGATATCACTATCACCCAACAACCGATATCACTATCACCCACCCGATATCACCCACCCAATATCACCATCACCCAAACCCGATACATTCATATATCACTATCATCAACCCGATATATCACCATCACCCAACCCGATATCACCATCACCCAACCCGATATCACCACCAACCCGACCCAACCCAATATCACCACACTATCATCCAACCATCACCAACCCCCGATATCACCATCACCCAACCCGATATCACCCGATATCACCATCACCCAACCCGATATCACCATCACCATCATCCAACCCGATATCACCATCACCAGCCTGATATCACCATCACCCAACCCAATATCACCATCACCCAAACCCGATACATTCATGTATCACTGTCATCCAACCCGATATCACCATCACCCAACCCGATATCACTATCACCCAACCCGATATCACCATCACCCAACCCGATATCACCATCACCCAACTCGATATCACTATCACCTATCCCAATCTTACCATCACACACTGGGTTGTATTGCATTCGTGCATTCCGTATACCTTTATCATAGCCATACAATGATACTACTGTGTTGCGTGTAGTATTGCAGGGATGGGCCTTATGTAAGAAATATTTGTGAATTTTATCGCTAATTCTGTGCTTCACTATAACAGATATGTGTTTTTGGTTTTTGTTGCTGTTGGATTTTTTGTTTTCTGTTTTTATTTGCTTTTGTTTTTTGTTTTTTTGTTTGGTATTGGTTTGTTATGTTTTTGGTTTCGTTGGTTTTTGGGTTTTTATAGTTGTTTTGGGTTTTTTTGGGGGTGTTGTTTTTGTTTGTTTTGGGGGTTCTGTTTGGTGTGTTTTTGGGGGTTCTTGTTTTAATTTTGTTCTTTTTGTTTTGTTTTGTTTTGTTTTGTCTTTTGTTTTGTTTTTGTTTAGGGAGGGGGTTGGGTGTGTGTTGTTTGTTGTTTTTTGGGGGGGCTCCTGTGTTTTTTGTTTGTTTGTATTTATCATTCACAATCTTCCCATTAACTTTGGAGGTGTGTTTAACAAAACCTGATTTTTTAATTTTTTATATTAATAAAACAGACTGCTCTCTATTGCCCTTTGAACAGCTGTTTTTGCTGTGCCATCATTTTATAGTTGTATGTTAAACGGTTGGAGGAAACTGTTAACATTGAAGAAGATATGTTTAATCATATAATTTGGAATAATAAAGTAATCATTTTAAATAAGAAGTCTGTGTATACTCATAAATGGGTAAAATCTGGCATTGTATATGTTAGACGTTTGCTTGATGAAAGTGGACGGTTATGAACTAGACTAGAGTTACAAAAGGTATATCATTTGAATATAGACAGTAGATATTTGTTAAAACCCGATATCCCCATCTCCGAGTCGCCCATCTCTCTGTCACCAAATCACACGACATTATCACCCAAACATATTTCCCTATACCGGAAATCACCATCACAAACGAGGTATATACATCAGGCTGGTTTTTGTCCGTTTAGTTTTGGTCTTTGCGCCGTATTCAAAGGTGGACCAATTTGCAGGAACCGACAGAAAACATTCATCAAAGACAAGGCCTTATTGCCATTTATATTCAGCCTGTTGAAATAAGTGGAAGCTGTTCGTTGATTAAATACCATGTGATATGATATATAACGTTACTGACGGACAACAGGCGATTCGTATTCCAGTGGTTTAACCTCTGGATGAGGCATTTTTCACAAAGTGTCGAATTCCCTGTTTGTTATTTTGTGGAGAACGGGCGGCATAAAAACTGAAAATGAGAAACTGCAGAGTTTCAAAATTGGTCTTTGACAGCACAGATGACAAACAAATCTAACCGTATGTTTAATTCTCTTATAAATTGGCATATCACGTGACTGACATTTAAAGAAGTCTTCCTCTTCCAACGAGTGCATATTTGTACTTACTTCATTCTGTGTTTGATCACCGTGACAAGCAGGTAAAAAGGCTCCGTCGTTTTATCGTATGATTAGATTTTGTTATTTGCATATTATAATGTACATCCTGACAGCAACCAAAAACGTGTATTTAATAACTAAAAGCTATTTGAGCGTGTTTTGAGCAGAGATGAGCTTTGGTGAGAGTGAGATCTGCCGTGGTGATGGTAAGATCGTGATTTGCGCCGGGTGACAGTGACATGTGACTTGGTGAGATTGAGATCTGCCGTGATGATGGTAAGATCGTGATTTGCGCCGGGTGACAGTGACATGTGAGTTGGTGAGATTGAGATCTGCCGTGATGATGGTAAGATCGTGATTTGCGCCGGGTGACAGTGACATGTGACTTGGTGAGAGTGAGATCTGGCTCGGTGATGCAATAGAGCCGGGTAATGGAGATACTGGTTTACTGATGGTGAAATATGGCAAAGGTGATGATGAGTGAGAGATGAGAGTGAGTCATAGCAAGACAAATCTGGGTGATGGTGAGACCCCACTGCTGATGGTGAGATATGACTGGGTAATTGTAAGATATGACTGATATTGGTAGGAGACTCGTCATGGTGAGATTAGACGGGTTGGTGAGGAGGGAGAGCTAATGGATGATAAGATGGAGCTGTATGACAATGAGGTAAGATCAAGTAACAGTTAGATAGGGAAAAGTGTAGTGTTGATGTCTAGGTGTTTGTTTGTGAGATCAGGCAGGCTGAAGGTGAGGCATAAGTGGCTGTTTGTGAGATCAGGCAGGTTGTTGGTGAGGCATAGGTGGCTGTTTGTGAGATCAGGCAGGCTGTTGGTGAGGCATAGGTGGCTGTTTGTGAGATCAGGCAGGTTGTTGGTGAGGCATAGGTGGCTGTTTGTGAGATCAGGCAGGCTGTTGGTGAGGCATAAGTGGCTGTTTGTGAGATCAGGCAGGTTGTTGGTGAGGCATAAGTGGCTGTTTGTGAGATCAGGCAGGCAGGCTGCATAAGTGGCTGTTTGGTGAGGCATAAGTGGCTGTTTGTGAGATCAGGCAGGTTGTTGGTGAGGCGTAAGTGGCTGTTTGTGAGATCAGGCAGGTTGTTGGTGTGGCTGTTTGTGAGATCAGGCAGGTTGTTGGTGAGGCGTAAGTGGCTGTTTGTGAGATCAGGCAGGTTGTTGGTGAGGCGTAAGTGGCTGTTTGTGAGATCAGGCAGGTTGTTGGTGGTGAGGCAGTGGCTGTTTGTGAGATCAGGCAGGTTGTTGGTGAGGCGTAAGTGGCTGTTTGTGAGATCAGGCAGGTTGTTGGTGAGGCGTAAGTGGCTGTTTGTGAGATCAGGCAGGTTGTTGGTGAGGCATAAGTGGCTGTTTGTGAGATCAGGCAGGTTGTTGGTGAGGCATAAGTGGCTGTTTGTGAGATCAGGCAGGTTGTTGGTGAGGCATAAGTGGCTGTTTGTGAGATCAGGCAGGTTGTTGGTGAGGCATAGGTGGCTGTTTGTGAGATCAGGCAGGCTGAAGGTGAGGCATAAATGGCTGTTTGTGAGATCAGGCAGGTTGTTGGTGAGGCATAGGTGGCTGTTTGTGAGATCAGGCAGGTTGTTGGTGAGGCATAAGTGGCTGTTTGTGAGATCAGGCAGGCTGTTGGTGAGGCATATGGTGGCTGTTTGTGAGATCAGGCAGGTTGACTGAAGGTGAGGCATAAGTGGCTGTTTTGTGAGATCAGGCAGGTTGTTGGGTGAGGCATAGCGAGTGGCTGTTTGTGAGATCAGGCAGGTTGTTTGTGAAGGTGAGGCATAGGTGGTTGTTTGTGAGATCAGGCAGGTTGTTGGTGAGGCATAGGTGGTGGCTGTTTGTGAGATCAGGCAGGTTGTTGGTGAGGCATAAGTGGCTGTTTGTGAGATCAGGCAGGCTGTTGGTGAGGCATAGGTGGCTGTTTGTGAGATCAGGCAGGTTGTTGGTGAGGCATAAGTGGCTGTTTGTGAGATCAGGCAGGTTGTTGGTGAGGCATAGGTGGTTGTTTGTGAGATCAAACAGGCTGAAGGTGAGGCATAAATGGCTGTTTGTGAGATGAAACAGGTTGGTGGTGAGGCATAAGTGGCTGTTTGTGAGATCAGGCAGGTTGGTGGTGAGGCATAGGTGGCTGTTTGTGAGATCAAACAGGTTGGTGGCGAGGCATAAGTGGTTGTTTGTGAGATCAGGCAAGTTGGTGGTGAGGCATGGGTGGCTTTTGTGAGATCAAGCAGGATTAGTTACAGCTCTTAGTCGCAGCAGAGACAGTCGGATAGTAGTGAGTTTAGTTTTACACCGCACTCAGCAATATTCCAGCTATATGACGGCGGTCTGTAAATAATCGAGTCTGGACCAGGCAATCAAGTGATCAATAGCATGAGCATCGATCTACGCAGTTGGGAACCGATGACATGTGTCAACCAAGTCAGCGAGCCTGACCACCCGATCCTGTTAGTCGCCTCTTACGCCAAGCATGGGTTACTGAAGATCATTGTTTTAACCCGGACCTTCACGGGTCCGGATAGTAGTGAGATAGGGTCGGTGATATTGGGCAGGATATGTGATGTAAATATTGGCTGGGTGATTGTTAAATGGAACTGGCTGAAATTCGTGCTGCATCAAAGGGAGATTGCGCATGGTCCTGAAATTCGACAGGAAACAGCTGTATATCTGTAGCGCAAATGTCCTACTACTTTAACAATGCTAGTTCAGGGCCCCTATTCTCGAAAGGATCCTAGCCCTAGGATATCCTAACTTTGATCCTAGGGTCTAGGATAGGTGTCCTACCTTATTCTCGAAAAGTATCCTAGCGCTAGGATATCCTAACTTAGGACAAATAATAGGATAGGTTCTGACTTGTCCTAAGTCTATCTTAGTGGAAATCAACATGGGGTGGTTCTTGTTTGTCAAACAAAATAACTCGCCTAAATTACATTTGAATTTAACAAGAGCACACAGTTTTGATGTGTTACGAAGAGTTTTTTGAGTTTATATTATCAATTTATCGGTAATGAATAGACACACTTGTTGCAATGTACATATTCTTTAGATCTACAAAAGAGATTTGTTCAGTTCTTACCTGTTCTCGGCCTTTTTAATCACAACATTGCTCTTTCCAGCACATTGCCGTGAAATGTCAACGTCAAGGCCAACTTGATAGGGGAAGTAACTCCGATCCTGTTTATTCTCCAGGTGAATTTTTCAGTTTGTGAGATAATGCATAATTAGAGTTCAAATGATGATTACAATGAAAATATTTTTTGCTCATATCTTTAATATCCTTATTGTTTTTTGGCAGACTTTCAAACTCTGAAGTAGAAATGTTATCGCCTTGTCAAAAAATGAATTTTCAAAAACTTCAAAACTACTATATAATGTGATGAAAATATCGAATAATTTCTTCTAGATCTACTAAGTCCATCAAAAGCTGAATTTCCTAATATTATGTGTTTTTAATGAAATGAATCATGGGTAATATTTAGGGGAATCCCCAACTTAATGAGGGTTTTCTCTCTCACCTACTGAAGAGCTCGCTATCCTAGCTAGGATAGGCAGCACAAGTTAGGACAGGGATAGGATCGTTTCGAGAATGGGTCTTATCATAACGGTAGGATGTCCTAACTTCTGTCTTAACTACTTAGGATCTGTCTTAGCTGGGACACTTTCGAGAATAGGGGCCCAGGGCAATACTGTACTTGGGGTTAGAGGGAACTGTATTCCGTAAGTCGAGTTACTATCTATTAGCAGTATTATAGTGCCATGGTTTGCTGCCCGGCTCTGAAAATCTTAGAATTAAAGCGTAGTTATAACATTGCATCAAAACGCCAAGTAAACTTCAGTTGGTGTACAACCACCTGGAACGTTACCTCTATTCAATGGTTCAAATACTGGAATGTATTTAGTAACACCGTTTGTTCGTTGTAATGTCAATAGGGGCGGTGGGGTAGTCTAGTGGTTAAAGCGTTGGCTCGTCACGCCGAAGACCCGGGTTCGAATCCTCACATGGGTACATTGTGTGAAGCCCATTTCTGGTGTCCCCCGCCGTGATGTTGCTGGAATATTGCTAAAAGCGGCGATAAACTAAACTCAGTCAGTGTAATGTCAATACATCGCGTCTGGACCTGCAGAGTACATTTACCAGGTGAGAGCTGTAGCCTTCAGGCCAGGATGGGTGATTCTAGGTACGCTTCATGTCTGGTATACGAGTGAGTGAGTGAGTGAGTGAGTGAGAGAGGAGTACTGTCCAAGATGTTTGGTTCATTTTGCCCAGAATACTTGTTTCTATTTCATGTGATTGTAAGACACCGATTTCTATGTATTTCATATCATGTTCATTCGGATCAAGGACACTGGTGTCTATCTACTATTGACCAAGGGCATGTTTTCTAATGACAGTGGTTCCAGTTTCATATTGTGCTGGTAGACTGCCTCCTGTTTGTCTGAGGACACCTGTTCATAGTATATATTGTAGTAGGAAACGATGTTTTATCTGCATTGTAGGTAAGAAACTCAATTCACCTAGATCTAGATCTTCTCACTCGGACGGGGCTGCGGACAGTATAATATGATACAAGCACGACAATCAACACTGTTATGATAATACTCCGGCTGCAACCTCCCCGACCCACTCAGGCCTATATCCTAGTCACTTTTACGGCAAACACGAAATATAGCGAATTGACATGCTCAACGACAGATTTGCTCGCTGCTCAAGATGACATCGGTGATTTGTGATGCGTACGTAAAATCCACATCACACCACGTGGGTTTGTTTGTAGTTTTTTTTATTTATTTATTTATTTATTTATTTATATTTGTTTATTTTTGTCCATTTGACGTCACATCGTACGGAGAAGTTCGGAACGGTGTCTATGGCTGTGGTGATATACAGTCGGTCTGAATTGTTGATGCGGCGGCTTTGGAAAATATACGAGCGGCCAAACCCGCGGCCCGCTGAGTGAGGTGACTAATATCACAGACACACTTCGAGCATTGTGTGGTGGTGACAGGCGGCGTCATTAGGACGAATCCAGGAATACAGTCACGACCTGTGACTTGCAACGTTCATCGAGGTGGAGGATGGAGATCGTCAAAGACGTTGAACATGCTGAGGAACAGTTTAAAGCGATGATAATCCTGCTAACTCAATCATGATCCATTTTCGAAATGTATTGACGAATTGTAATACCAAACATATACATGAAATTGAACACTTTGTTGGAGTCTAATCTACTCAGACACGGCGTTTTGCAGAGTAATGTCCCGCGTGCCACTCAATGGTAAAAACCGATAAACATTAAATGATCTGGCCTATAATAGCAACACATATTATCAGATTGAGGTTTTCTTCACTCAAATGGCTTTACCTAAAGCGGTTCTAATCTCACTCACCAACCCTTCCACCCAATCAGTTATTTACCCTCTCACTCACTCACCAACCCTTCTACCCAACCAGTCATTAACCCACTCACTCACTCACCCAGCCGCCCACCCAGCCACTCATTCACCCACTCAGTCGTTTACCCTCTCAGTCATTCACTCACTAACCCGTTCATTCATTCGCTCAGTCGCACGCACTCATTACACTGCCAAAACGCACGTACACCTAATACTTAGCACACCAGGCGTCAGTACTGGAGACACGACAGGTATACAGTCTCACGTTGGTTATTGATATACGTCAGCTAGCGACTCCAGATTAGCACGTTAAACCCACTAAGCCTATAATGACATACCTGAAGCAGCCCTGTCGGTGGTGTCATATCACGGGTATCGGCTACCCGGGTAATACAGACTGTTGGGTTGGGTGGTATTTCTCTGTGATGCGATGCCACCTTGCATCCAAATGACCCCTCTATATAAAGGCTGCAGACACTGATCTCATTCGAATCATTCTCACACCTTCTGTCGGAAGGATTGAAATGTCTTATTGTACTGCAGGGGTAACAACAATACGTATTTGTGGTGTGATGATAATGTGTCACGAAAATCTTTTGAAACCCTACTGACTGCATCATTACCTCGACAATTGACCGTATTGTGATTTTTTCAAAATGTTATCATCTAACATAGTAATAGAAAATGCTTCTTTCAATGCCACATATGCGTATATTTCGTGCTGAGAATACCTATTTCTTCAAACACTCTCTTCGTACAATATTCCAGCTGTTTGACTATGATCTACAATAACATAAGCCAGTGATTGATATCATGAGCATTGTACTACGCAGTCCGTACAGGTTGACATGCTTCAACCATGTCAGCGAGCCTGATCACCATCTCTCTGAAGTGGCCTCCTACCACAAGCTTGAGCTACTGAAGCGAGTTTCAACCAGCCGCTTCATTCTGGAAGGTATGGGGAAATGTCTCGGTGAAATGTAATGTGTTGTCAGGTAAGAGTTGGTTATTTCGAGGTCATTCTGATTGTGTCGACTAGCTGCATCAGTAACTGTAAGTGAAGTGTCAAGCATGAGGTGTGTTTGTTACAACGTGTCGTAGGTCCTGGTGCTAGGGGCCAAGGTGATGCTCTCCCACCCAGTCGATTAGACCTACACGTGTGACACAGGTGGTCGAGATCAGCGTTGTCATGTCCTAGTTTGACCTGCAGATACACGTGTGATGCAGGTGTTTGATATCAACATGGTCATGTCCCACGTGGTCGGTTAGACCTGCAGACGCACGTGTGATGCACACAATATTCTGTTTCAGCATTCAAGCCCCTGTTTGTCCACATTCTCGTTCTATACTCCATACCAGAGTGTTCTGAAAACATGATTGCCGATATCACTAACCTCTGTGCACATTTTCATAAATACATACTTGTGAGTGCACATTGTTTAAGTTAGTGAGGCATATTACTGTTAACAGCATCTGAAAACACATACACAAAGGGCCTGGACGCATAACCAACAATGAGCGCCATCGGTGCAGGATGAAGCTCTGTCAACATATCAACAATTCAGTCAGGTATTACATCAGTGACCTACATCAGTGACCTACGTACGTGGACACTTGACCAAAATATATGGTCAGGTGGCATGAAAATTTTGTATATTCACTTTACAATCTAACGTATACATGTATGAGTGAGTGAGGGAGTATAGTTTTACGTCGTTTTTAGCAATATTCCAGCAACATGACGGCGGGAAACACCACAAATGGGCTTCACATATTGGGGAATCGATCCCAGGTATTCGGCGCGACGAGAATGTAAAACCTCAAAGCCAGATAATAACCAGTCTCGATTATCCACCGATTCCATTTTATCGTAAAACAGGAATCAGTAAATCCTATGAATAGATCATTAAACAATTGTCATTACAGCAGGTGTTTGCGACGGCGCTGTCTCCATAACCATGTGTGGTTCCAAGATTGGAATTGCTCCCTGTCCACGATGCTGGTTGTAGGAGGATGCCAAACTGACCCGGGGTCACACAGGGTGGCGTGGTTGTAGGCACTACCCCGACGGCGTGGATCATTGTTTACGTTGTCAATCACCTGATTGTCTGGTTCACATTCCATAACTTACAGACCGCCGCCATACAATCTGCCGGGAAACAGAAGGTATACGTTTGAAAATTGCATTTGACCTAAGACATACTAACGTTCTCAAAAACATAAATCACTGTAACCCGAAAACATTAATGTCCAAACATCAGAATGGATCGTATCCCAGTTGCGTAGATTGATGCTCATGCTGTCACTGGATTGTCTGGTCAATTTATAGTAACACAGTTTGCCGTTTTGTCATTGAATAACGAAGAAAAACATTTGTTGTAAATTAATGTCTGTGTAGATTTTAATTCAAACCATAAAGATAATCACAAAAACTTCATATATGTTCTTTACCCAATATACCGGTTCTCAGAAAAGATATTGCAATACGTATTGTTTGAAAAGCGCATTGCGACATACCGGTATACCTATTACCGTACAGTCCTATTATTTACAGACTCCCGACATATACCCCAGTAGCTGGAATATTGCTGATTGCGACGTAAAACAAACAACCTACCAATCAGAATGGAGTAACCAGATCTTGTTTATTTCACTTCAGTCGCTATCAAACATACCTGTATACCTCCTTGTGTCCGGCAGTTCAGGGGTGCCGTTGTACAAAGCGATCTTAGCGCTAAGGTGACCTTAACTCCCATACCTTAACATAGACTGAAGGTAGTCTTAGCGCTAAGGTTGCTTTGTACAACAGCACCCAGGCTGACTGTTCCTGGGAGCGGCGTTTGACAACAAACACTGTCTCCACATGCGTCCGGAGATAGTGAAGGTGGGTCACAGAGGACTAGGTACCCCGTTGTCCCAGGTACTGGACATCAGTGACCTGTCATCAGCCACACAACCTATATACCGCGCACTTCCTCCCTTTACGTGTAGGTGTGACTGGAACTGAATGTAATCTGAACACGCGTGTTTCCGATCTTCTTGTTAATGCTCTCGATACATAAACCCACCACAAGAGAAACTACATTTAGCAAGATCATTTTAGGATGAGACATGAATGAGGAAGGAAGGTTCTAACCGCCAAAGAAAGGAATTGACATGAAGGTAAGAAATCAGTTAGAAGTAAGTCCATGATATATAACTTATAATGGGCACAATCATAAGGGCGGGGTAAGTTGTCCGGAATTCGATCATTCAACATTACAATTATATGTAAACCGTTTAATGCTATGGTTGTCATAAGACCGGGTGAGCTCACCACAGGCCCATATCGAAGCTCACTCTAGGAGGGGGTCGGTGGGGTAGCCTAGTGGTTAAAGCGTTCACTCGTCACGCCGAAGATCTGGGTTTAATTCCCCACATGGGCACAATGTGTGAAGCAAATTTTTGGTGTAAATCAGCGTGCCATTGCGGGGGAATTGCTAAAAGCGGCGTAAAACCATACTCACTCCCTCACGCACTCGGAGGTGAGCGGCACAGGTATGACGCCTATTGTCAAGATGGAATGCGGCACCCTTCCTCTGCAAGTGTTTGCAATAAAATTTGTTTAGTCATTAACTTAGATGGTTGCTGAAGATGATGCCAATGTCACGAATCTGGGTCTCGAACCACGATGCGTTCCTGGAGCTGCGACTTTAGTATGCCCATGATAAACTATAGACACTCCATTTTGTAACCAAGAGTTAATAATATCTCACATATGTTTAAGAAAAAACAAAATGAATTTTACAGTTCTTTCGTGTTTAGAAACATAACTGGGAAGAGCAAATTCATTCGGATGTTTCCTTTTGTTTTGATAGTTTATTGGAAACGATCAAGGCCTAACAATTACCATTGTTGCGTGTATATGATACAAGGGAAGCCGGGAAATTGGTTTAATGGCTCTAGCTATGGCGTACAGATGTTCCCCCAAGGGGATGGATCAGACCACTTGGGACAAGGTCATTGAGTTCGAGTCACGTCAAGCTTCTCGGACATTTCACCTATAAACTGGTATAAACTGTCTCAAGATTATGAACCATTTGTGGATCCCGACTGGAAGTAATTCAACATATAAGATTACGCCGACCAGTCTTCAGACTAGTGGTATTTCTCAACATATATAATCGTAAGCTGATGGAAACTATACGATTTAAACAATGCAAATAACAAAAATATAAACTTGAACTTCAAACTAAATCAATGCAAAACACATCGTCCAAACACAACAATATTCTATGCAGAATATGTAGAAAATGCGAGATGCTATGTAATACGTGCGAAAAAGTGAAAAACAGTTTGGACAACGTAAACTACACGTGTAGTCAGGGTATGTAAGGGCGGCATGTCAGACTCTCACACAGGCACTCGCACAGATACTCATACACTCACACAGACACTCGCACAGACATTCACTCAGACAGACGCTCACTGAGACGCTCACTGAGACACTGACACAGACACTCACACAGACGCTCACACAGACGCTCAGACGCTCATACAGACATTCACTCAGACAGTCGCACAGGCACACTCGCACACTCACACAGACACACACTCGCTCAGACACTCACACAGACAATAAGACACTCACAAAGACATTCACTCAGACTCAGTCACTCTCTCTGAGACGCTGACACAGACACTCATACAGACGCTCGCACAGACACTCACTTAGACACACAGACTCACACATACACTCACACAGACATTCGCACAGACATGCACACACAACCAACGCGAGCGGGCCCAGCGGTTGACACAGATGGGAATCACCCATGCCCACATTGCTGGTACCCCTTGCTGCACCTGTGATCAAAAGCTTTATGTGACCAAAACCTGAACGAAATCTGCATTTAATGTAACTGCCATTTAGGAACCGAAGTTGGCACAATATGAAAGAATCTCTTTATCGAGTGCTAAAATCCCGTCATTAGTGAGCCTTGACGTAAGGTTTTAGTGTTACCTGCTTCTTTGTAATGGTTAGAGTTCTCAGCAGGATAAAGCCACCAGGTAGAAACACCTCTGTTGAGGTGCATACAATAATGCCTATATGAAAGCGATTCAAGTACTACCGCAGTGTTTACAAACAAACAAGGCGTGACCCCAGTCAGTGTGGGTTCGAGTCGGAATTAACCATTGTCAATATGGAAAACATACTGCGAAAATCGTTTATCATTTTCAACACAGTCGCCTTTGATACTTAAATCAGTGTGTTTATGAGCGCAGTTAAGCCATTTCAAAACTTGTGAATAGAGGCCATATATTGCGACACAATTTTGCAACGAAATCAGCCTATCAGGAACTATTCCCATACTGAGCTCCGGCTTGAGTCCATTTGCCTGATCTTAAGCAGTTGGATTTGACAGGAACATAACAAAATTGTTACTTTTCGTATTTTGATGTTGTTTGAGCATATTACTATGTACTTCGTAACGTTATGGCCTGCTGATGGTAAGCTACGCTGACTCCAAACAAACTTGACTTCGATAGACCAGGGTTAGAGTAGCTTCACTTTGATAGACCAGGGTTAGGGTTAGAGTAGCTTCCCTTTGATAGACCCAGTAGGTTTGACAGAGTAGACTTCCCTTTGATAGACCAGGGTTAGAGTAGCCTCCCTTTGATAGACCAGGGTTAGAGTAGCTTCCCTTTGATAGACCAGGGTTAGAGTAGCTTCCCTTTGATAGACCAGGGTTAGGGTTACAGTAGCTCCCTTTGACAGACCAGGGTTAGAGTACTCCCTTGACAGACCAGGGTTACAGACAGACCAGGGTTAGAGTAGCTCCCTTTGACAGACCAGGGTTACAGTAGTTAGACCAGGGTTACAGCTCCTTTGACAGACCAGGGTTACAGTAGCTTCCCTTTGATAGACCAGGGTTACAGTAGCCTCCCTTTAGACCAGGGTTCCCTTTGACAGACCAGGGTTAGAGTAGCTTCCTTTGACAGACCAGGGTTAGAGTAGCTTCCCTTTGACAGACCAGGGTTAGTAGCAGGGTTCCCTTTGACAGACCAGGGTTACAGTAGCTTCCCTTTGACAGACCAGGGTTAGAGTTCCCTTTGACAGACCAGGGTTACAGTAGCTTCCCTTTGACAGACCAGGGTTACAGTAGCTTCCCTTTGACAGACCAGGGTTACAGTAGCTTCCCTTTGACAGACCAGGGTTACAGTAGCTTCCCTTTGACAGACCAGGGTTACAGTAGCCTCCCTTTGACAGACCAGGGTTGAGTAGACCAGGGTTACAGTAGCTTCCCTTTGATAGACCAGGGTGACAGACCAGGGTTACAGTAGTAACTCCCTTTCCAGACCAGGGTTACCAGTTAGTAGCTTCCCTTTGACAGACCAGGGTTAGAGTAGCTTCCCTTTGACAGACCAGGGTTAGAGTAGCTTCCCTTTGACAGACCAGGGTTAGAGTAGCTTCCCTTTGACAGACCAGGGTTAGAGTAGCTTCCCTTTGACAGACCAGGGTTACAGTAGCTTCCCTTTGACAGA